ATCTCTTACTTTAATCCCAAAGTTAAAATGTTCCATACAAATTTGGTCTGTATCACTAATGTTTACATACATGGGAAACAATCTAGAACTTGAGTTTGCAGACAAGGTGATTCACACTAATGTCATGAATTGCATAGCATTTCCTACAGATAGTTTGATGGGTCCTTCATTTTGATATTTTGTCACACAATACTTTACATATGAGGTCTAGGCAATTTGAGATGTATGGCTTTGCACATGAATCAAACTAGTTAATGCTGCAGAAGATTTAATCTTCTTCTCCCCTCATCAAGCTGTATTTGGTGAGACAATTTCCATCATCCTTTCCCTCTCACACAGCACAAAACTAAAATCATCCTGAAGCACTGCCTCTACCAGTACACCTGAAGACAGGGTAGATCCATCTTACATTACTGCTCCTCAGATCCTTATGCATATTTCAGTATTATCATCCTTTGGGAACGTCACTTCCCCTGTTAGCAAGAAGGATGACATTAAGGCCGCAGATGAGGAAAGCATTTGTATTCAGGAAAACATTTCAGCGCATGATTATATAGGACATAAGCTTGTTGTTAAATTCTTTGTTGAGGAAAGTACTTAGGCAAATGCTTGAAGCTGGAGGACAAAATTCTGGAAAGCTGTTGAGTTCACCATCCTGTGCAAGCCATGCCATGTAGGAGCACAGCCAGCACTAAGGTCTGCAGTTCCCAGAATAGTTTTGAAGAAGTGGGTATTAACTCAACAGCGTTTGATCACCGTATGCCAGGGTAGCTGAAGGCGCCAATATAACATGTTTGAGAGTCCTTGCTTAGGTTCCAGTCCAACTTTTATTGATTTCAGGGGAATGTGAGTTAGGCTTATAATATACTAGCTGGGTTTTTTCCCCACAAAGAACAGTAAGTTAAAGGGAAAGGATGGGACATCGTTCCAAAAGACGTTGGTCACAGTTAAGTTGGTCACAGTTTGGAGTCTGAATTTGAATTCGCTGTCTCTTTGTAGCAATTTGTTTTCATAAAATAATAATAATGGGGTACATTTATACTTGTTGATGCACACTAAGCCAATTCAGTTTCACCAGGGATAAACTTGGCCAATTGTTTATAAAGTTCATAACATCTAAACTAGGGATGTAATAGTGTAGTTGATTAACTGATAAGCAAAAGCTTATAGGTTAATGCTGTAGACTACATGGATTCTTCCCGCTCCCCCTCCCCAATCCGAACATTTTTTAGCAGGTGGCCAGCATCCGGCTCAGTCCTGGCTTGTACTGGCTCTGGGACCTACCCCTGCATTTAAACTGTATTAGGAACAAGGCGAGCAAGTAGTCCGGCTCAGTTCCAGTTCACGCCGGGTCCAGGAGCTCAGCCCCAGCTCCACCCCCACGGACAGAGGCTGTTGCCACCCTGTGCTGCAGCAATGCAAGGAAAAAGGCAGACAGTCTGAAGAGAGCTGGTTTTTCAAATGGCTCCCTTTGTGGACCAGCTCCCACCTGGCCCCTGGAGCTGATACAGAGGCAGCAGCGCAGAGTGGCAGGGGGCTCCTCGAGAGTGGGACTGGAGCACACTGGCTGCTGGCCTGTCCCCCAGGGTTTATAGAATAGCTGAGTAAGAATTCATGAGATTAATCGACTATTCAATTAACGCATATTTAACATCCCTAATCTGAACCAACTTCAGATCACTGCGAAAGTAAAATGAAATGAAGACACATTAACAGAAACATTAAACTGCTAAATTCCATAGATTTGGATCCATAATATAAGACAACACCCAGAATAAGGGTCTAAGGAAAATTAATTGTTAATATTACAGTTGCCACAAGAGGCCCCACAGGACTAGGGCCCCAGGTGGGAGATTGAGTGGTTATGGGTTGGGAGGCGGGAGAGGAAAGTTTGGCTCAGCAGCTATGGGAAAGGAGGAGGGAGTATGGTACCAAAAACTCTCTTTGGCTAAATTAGTAGGGCCATTCCTAGCAGAGAGATGACATATCTAAGATGTCTTGGTATCTGTCATTTATGGTAAAAATGCAACCTCATTTGATTTAAAAAAAAATTAAATCAGTAGACCCAGTTCTGGTAAAATTGGATGAGGGAAAATACTGGTAACATCATCTATTGTCTATACCCTGAGCTCCTATAGGACTGAGATGCATTGAGGCTTTCAGTACAGGAGGTATAGGTAGGTAAATCTTCAGCTAACGCCAACCCAGCTGAATTTCTATACGACTGTACCAGAAACACCGTGAAGGAAGACATCCCGCTGAAAAATGTCCTAAACCTACTGTGCACATGGCTACAATTCTGGGATTTGATAATCAAGGTGAATCTTTTGGACAAGTATCTCTCAACTGCCAAGATCCAGATATGTGCCAAATCCAGTGACTTGCCCGGATCTAAAGTTTGTTGTTAAATTTTGTTGACAAATATTCTTATACAGGAGCAAAATTATTTTAAAAAATCAAAATACACTTCTGTCGCGTCTACTTATATGCCTTCCTCTAAGGCAGTGGGTCTCAAACTTTTTGGCCCACAGCCCACCCTGCTTAATGAAGACCTTTCTGTGGACCACCAGCCAACCACCCATGTTGACAAAATGGGTGCAGGAAGGCATGGGAGTTTGGGGTCTGGCCAGAAGGTAGGGTGTAGGGGTGGCTGAGGGAGGAGGGTATCGGAGGGAGGGAGGGAGTGTGCAGGAGTGCGGTGGGGGGTCTGAGGCATCATCTAAAGGAGGGTCATGGCAGTGCAGGTCTGGGCATGAAGGAGGCTCTGTGCCTCTCGCCACTCCCAGACACTCCCCCGCCCCCTACTGCGCTAATTGATTCCAGCCAATAGGAGCAGTGGGGAAAGCCTCCAGGCAAGCAGTTTCCTGTGCTACCATTCCCTCAGCTGGGGGGAGGAGGAGCAACAGCATGTGGAGCCACTTCCTTACCCTGCAAGCCAGATCCAGCCCGCGAGTCTCACTCCTCTCTCCCCCCCACCAGCAACCAGTGCTACTGCTCCATCTTCGTAGTGGGAGGAGGCCGGAGCACTAGTGCAGGTTCCTGCTGCAGGGTGGGCAAGCCCCAAGTCCGTGGCCCACCAGCAAGACAGTCATGGACTGAAAACCACTGCTTTAGGGAGCGAACACAACTTCTTTACTTCTATTGTTAGGGGGACCAGATGTCCTGATTTTATAGGGATCGTCTTAATATTTAAGGCTCTCTCATATATAGGTGCCTATTACCTCCAGCCCCCCCCCCCAACCCTGCCTTGCTATCTGGTCACCCTATTTACTGATCCTAGGTTTATCCCAGTAGAAGGCATAGGAGCAGTGGAGGCTTGGTCAGACAAATTGCTTTAAAACCTGAAGGATTCAAAGGGTTGGCACATCTGTAACACAGTCAGTGACTAAAAAAAGAGAGCCAAGTCAATAGCCATCAACAAACGTGATAAATCTATAAAGAGAAACATGTTAGAAAAAAACTGCCACCCCCCCAGTAAAAAGTTTGGCCAGGCCACTCTGCTATAGTGGGCTGCAGTACTCTTCTGGAGAAACCGGCCGCACCCTTCCTGCATACCATTGCCTTTAGAAAAAGGGAAGGTGTGAAAAGGGGAAAATAGCCTCAGACTCTCCCACCCATCACCTTGGCGTGAGAACTGCGGGGCTTACCTGGTCACATGAAACCTGCACAGTTTCGGCCCAACCCTTGGGACACAGACCCCCCACTTGGTGACCATTGAGCCATATATGGTAATATGCAAGCACAGGAAAGCGATGTGCAGATTTGGGGATAAATACCCATCGCACGGTTCGCTCAAGGAGGTCTTCGCAACACACGTACGACCGTGCATGTGTCTTCCTATATACTTCAAAGCGCTGCCGGCCTGATGAACCGACCAGCCACCTCCCCCGACTCTCGGGCGTAACCAAGGCCTTCACAACCAAACCGATATCTTTGAAATGGTCCGTGTGCTGTGCAAGTTGGTATGTATGATTTGATTTTTTCTTGTAGTGTTGTACTTGTTTTGGGTAGTACATAGAGTTTGTAGTTATCACTTATTTAATTAGTGTAACTGGATATTTTTTGGATAGAGACTATTCCCCTTGCCATTCCCATCCTTATCTCTCTGACATGTTTAACTAGAAATCATAGAATAAATATAATAAATACTGTAAATTCATTATTAACATGGTCTATTAAAAATCTTAGAATAAATACTATAAATGCATCACTGTTATAAATAAATATTTTTTATTTGCTAAAACGGTCTACCTGGTTCTGTCCTTCCCCCCTTGGGTATGCATCATTGGACCTGTGATTCTCGCGACAAAACACAAACCTACATTTATATGTAGGATTCGGGGATTATTGGATGACTCCTGGAGAACCTCTCTTGTATTTCGTCCTGTTCTCAAAAAAGTATTTCCCCTATTTATACATAAGCGACAAAGTAGATTAGCCATTAAAAATATTTTTGATGTATAGGGTCTCAGCTGCCAGCCCCACACCCGCCGCCAGCAGTGGCCCTAGTCTTGGCTCCCCTACATCTCTCTGAGGCCCTCCCTCCCAGAGGTACAGCCCTGCTCCTGGCCCCAACTCTGGGGCAGGTAGTGTATGGGGAGCAGTGGACAAGGATAAGGGACCTGGCTTCCAGCACCCCCGCTATTGAAAATGTTCCAATTGCACTGATTCTATGTATCACAGTGTTGCTCAGCTCTCTCCACAAGCCCAGTGCAGTCAGCATTCTCACCTGCCACCCATTTCAAATATATGGAAATAAAACATTGATACAGCAGCAAACACCACTCCAAGCAACATCCAGTGAATATAAATCACAGACTGTAGCTATAAAACAGTAGTGCAGAACTTTGAAGAATTAGGATCTTAAATTCAAGGGAGAGGATTTATATACCTATTTCTCCCTTTTTGGGCCACCTGGCATTCAATATTTCCCTTCAAACTGTTCTGAAACTAGCTATTTTTTTCTGTTAGTTTCAGCATTCTGGCCGGGAACTGAATCAGTAAGAGTCACAAAGAAGCAGAACAAATGCTGCCTTTGTACAGGTTTTTTGGAACACAGTGAGAGTTTGACTCATAAGTTTAATACAATTAGAGACAGTGTAAATTACACAATGTGTCCAATATTGAAGCTCTAGCAGCATGAACTCTTTCACTTTGACACATGTTCTTGGAGTCAAAAAGACGTCTGAAAGGTTTTCATGACAGAAGTTCAACACACACAAAAAATCACTCTTGTATGCTGTTTGATCTGATACTAAGTTGGAGCTTAATAAATGCTTAAACTGACATCTCACAGGACCTGATCCTTTAAAGTCTTTAAAATTATTGGCACGCAAAGATTTGGAGGATTAGACTCATGGTTTCTTCCCTCTTCCTCATCACCAAAAAGAGACACACAAAATACCTTCCCAAGGGGCTAGTTCTGAAATGTGTTGATGGCACATAGTACCCTGCAGGATCAGACTTTAAATTTGTTGACAATCAATATAAAATCCTGATTTTTTGAGTTTTAAATCAGAATTTTCAAGTGGCAATATGATGCAGCCTTATTCAATCTGATTGCTTATAGGTTAAAATGCACTATTTTCATTTGCTGTGATTACATCAATGCACTTAAAAATGCTGAAGTACTGAAGTCTGGAATATCTATTTCCAAGATGCCTGTAAAAGTGAATCTGACCTCTAATGGTGCAGTAATCTATTTAATTCACTGGAGAAACAAAAAGATTATTTCTATTCCCCAGTAAAAAAGAAAAACCCACTGCATCTTTCTTTACAAAGCAGCTCTCTGTAAAGTCACTAGTATAGATAACCATAGTTTTCCTAAATATATGAAATAGTTAATAGTTCTGCCTCTGGTTCTAGAATCATTATTATTTTAATTAAATATAAGTTTGTGTGCTAAAATAACCGACTTGGTAGAAATAACCTTATAAGAACATAAGAAGGCTGTATTGGGTCAGACCAAAAGTCGATCTAGCCTAGTTGCCTGTCTGCCGATAGCGGCCAGCATCAGGTGCCCCAGAGAGGGTGGACTGAAGACAATGATCAAGCGATTTGTCTCCTACCATCCTTCTCCAGCCTCTGGCAAACAGAGGCCAGGGACACCATTTTTGTCCTCAGGCTAATAGCCTTTTATGGACCTAACCTCCATGAAATTATCTAGCTTCTCTTTAAACTCTGTTATAGTTCTAGCCTTCACAGCCTCCTCTGGCAAGGAGTTCCACAGGCTGACTACACGCTGTGTGAAGAAGAATTTTCTTCTATTAGTTTAAAACCTGCTACCCATTAACTTCATTTGGTGTCCTCTAGTTCTTGTATTATGGGAACTAATAAATAACTTTTCTTTATTCGCCCTCTCCATACCACTAATGATTTTATATACCTCTATCATATCCCCCGTCAGTCTCCTCTTTTCTAAACTGAAAAGTCCCAGTCGTTTTAACCTCTCTTCATATGGGACCCGTTCCAAACACCTAATCATTTTAGTTGCCCTTTTCTGAACCCTTTCTAAAGCTAAAATATCTTTTTTGAGGTGAGGAGACCACATCTGTACACAATATTCAAGATGAGGGCGTACCATAGTTTTATACAGGGGCAGTAAGATATTCTGGGTCTTATTTTCTATCCCTTTCTTAATAATTCCTAGCATCCTATTTGCCTTTTTGACCACCGCTGCACACCGTGTGGAAGTTTTCAGAGAACTGTCCACGATAACTCCAAGATCTCTTTCCTGATTTGTCATACACAAATTAGCCCCCTGTACGTATAGTTGGGGTTATTTTTCCCCGATGTGCATTATTCTACACATTATCCACATTAAATTTCATTTGCCATTTTGTTGCCCAATCACTCAGTTTGGTGAGATCTTGTTGGAGTCCCTCACAGTCTGCTTTTGTCTTGACTATCCTAAACAGTTTGGTATCATCCGCAAACTTTACCACCTCACTGCTTACCCCTTTCTTCAGATCATTTATGAATAAGTTGAACAGGATTGGTCCTAGGACTGACCCTTGGGGTACACCACTCCAATTCTGAAAATTTACCATTTATTCCTACCCTTTGTTTCCTGTCTTTTAACCAGTTCTCAATCCATGAAAGGACCTTCCCTCTTATCCCGTGGCAATGTAATTTACACAAGAGCCTTTGGTGAGGGACCTTGTCAAAGGCTTTCTGAAAATCTAAGTATACGATATCTACTGGATCCCCCTTGTCTGCATGTTTAACAACACCTCAAAGAACTCTAATAGATTAGTAAGACATGATTTCCCTTTACAGAAACCATGTCGACTTTTGTCCAACAAATTATGTTCTTCTACACGTCTCTCAATTTTATTCTTTACTACAGGCAGTCCCCGAGTTACACGGATCCGACTAATGTCGGATCCGCAGTTACGAACGGGGATTTTCTCTCCACCGACGACGGGGCGAGAAAAGCAGCT